CATCCGAATGCCAAGTGACCATCGATTCAAGAACATATAGAAACGATGTTCAACTAAGAGAAGGAAAACCTTTAATCCTGCCTGAGGTACAACTAGAAAATCTTGAAAAACCAAAGTCCAAATTCGAATATATTGCTCCGAAGCTATCGAAAATCAACTTCGACGATATATACGAGATAAAAGAAAAATTCAATGAACTATCACCGATCAAAGAAGACGAAGAAAGAACCTATCAACCAGTCATCTTCGATATTGCGATTATTTTCATTTGTCTAATAATTGCAATATACCTAGTGTTCAGAAAATACCCACAACTCAAGAAGTACTTTCCATGTTTAAAGAAGAAAGAAGAACAGCATGTTCCAGTCCCACAGAAGAGGACCCCCGAAAATAACTCCGTTATTTTCTTGTCTTAACAGGGGAGGAGTTATATGTATAAATAAGTGTTATTTCATTGTAATTAAATACTGAATGCCTATTTTACATTATGTCACATATAAAAGCGAACTGCACGGTTCAAAGCAGACTTTTCACTCTCTGTACTTTGTCGAGAACGTTTGTAACAATAAAATCGTTTTTTAAAAAACAACTCTGTTAATTCAGACCTCAAAACTTACCTATTAACAACAAAATTTAAAATCATTTAATATAAGTATTTTTTTTAAGTAGTAGCAAAATATAAACAACAAATTAGATGTTAAAATTATTTATATTAGATCCTATTTAAAAATAATATAGTCTCTAAATTTTTTGTGTGTGGCAACGTTGGTTTATTATATAATAATAATTACAGAACTAATTTGTTATATTAACAGCAAATTTTAAAATCATGAAATATAAACATTTATTAATTTTCTAAGCATGCAGTGTAATGGAAGGAAAATATAAATAAAAATTAGAAATCAAAATTATTTATATTAGGTGCTTTATATTACTATTTAAAATTATATTTACTTTTACTGGCATTTACTTTAAAAAATAAAAGAAATATTTTTCGCAAAAAAACTACATGTAAGAGAATTAGCATAAACAAAATACAAACATCGTTAACTTTTTTTTAAATTGGCACGTGTAAAACTTTCATTTTAATTTTTTTCACCCCATAGTTTTGAGTTCGATAACCATTTATTTCACCACATTACTTAAATATGATTATTAAGTTCAACTAATTCATATTATTGAAACATCTAAAATACAAAATATGTATTTTAAAATTAATTATAAGTTCATCTCATCTCTCTTAAAAAATGCTACTCAAAATTTCCCATTAGAAATAGACCATATACCATATAAAATTAAATAATTGAAAGATCGGACTACGGAAAACCACACAAATTTTCAGGAAAAATTTGACCACCTGTACATGCACACAATCGTCAATAAATAAAATTAAAAAATAACTACTATTTTAGTATTTTAACTATTTTAATAAACGCAAAAATAGCACAGTATTTATACGGCGAAGTTATAAAAATTTGGAAGAACTAATAATGCACTGACGCATACAAAAATCAAACGAATACTAAATTTCATTTATCAAAAGCATTCGATAGTCGTGGCTCAACGATAACCATTTAGTCGCACGGCGAGGTTGTCACATATGCTTTAGTATACAAATGAATGAACGATTTTATTTGAATAAAACCATTCGATAGTCTAATTCATTCGATAGTTTCCATCGCTAATTAAAATCTATTATTTACCTATCGAATATTAACTATAAACTGTGCTCTGGGTCTACAGTTAATTTTCCCTCGAATTTTCCTCCAGTGAACTTGCATATATTTGACATATTTGGACACAAATAATAGCCTATAATATGGCCAGAGTTTGACAAGCCTCGAACATCTTAAGTCGAGTTCATTATTTGAATTTAAACCAATAAACTGGTTAAAAACAACAAGAGACTACGCCATGACGGATTTATACAGGGTGGTCCGAACTGTATTCCGGAAACTTCGGCAGTATATTCTGCAGATAAAAATAAGTAAAAAAGTTTGTATGAATGTATGTCCTAAAATGCTTAGTTTTCGGAGATACAGGGTGTAAGATTTTTTATTTCGATTTTTCAAATAATTTCTATAAGTAACGTCAATATTTGGATGAAAATTGGTGTCTGGGAGTTTTGACATGAAATTTGATTTTGATGTCAATATGACTCCCTACTAGTAGAGGCGCCATCTACATATTTTTTTAACTGGGTTGAAGAGTAATAACTTTTCGTCTGTACCCGTATAAAACTACTGAGTAAAAAATATACATTTACGACGTTTTTACGTGAAAAAGGTCTCTTGGTAAAAACCGCTACGAGTAATGGTTTTCGAGATATTTGATATTTGGAATAGAAATTATTAATACCTGTCATCATTGACATAAATTAAACATGTTGACTAAATAATTATTAGACTCAAATCATAAATTTGAAATGTTTTTGTGCCAAATGTTCAACAGAAACTGTTTTATCGTCATTTTTTGCAGAAAAATTTATGATTAATTTAAAAAAAATAAAAATTTCCCAAATTTATTATTTTAGTGAAATAACTATCTACTCAACGTGCTTATTTTTCATCAATAATGACATGTATGTACTATTTCCATTCTAAATATCTTAAGAACGGTTGCGAACGTTGAACGTAGCGATTTTTACCAAGAGATATTTTTTACGTAAAAAATCACAGAGATGTATATTTTTTCGCTCGGTAGTTTTATACAGGTACGGACAAAAAGTTATTACGCTCCAAAACAGTTAAAACACACGTAGTTGGCGCCCTTTACTAGTAGGAGTCATATTGACATCAAAATCAAATTTCTCATATCGAAAAACTTCCAGACACCAATTTTCATCCAAATATTGACGTTATTTCAGAAATTTAGAAAAAATCGAAATAAATATGGAACTTCTACACCGTGTATCTCTGAAACTAAGCATTTTAGGACATTCATTTATACGAACTTTTTTACTTATTTTTATCTGCAGAATATACTGCCGAAGTTTCCGGAATACAGTTCGGACCACCCTGTATATAAACTCATATATAGTTAAATTAAAAAATATCGTCATCTGCCTTTTTTTCTGTCATCGTCTGTCGAAATCTTACCTGTGTAATAAAACAGAATTGGGATAACTGAGAGGTTTGCTCTTTCAATAGATTTTGACAAATATTTAGTTCGATAACACTGGGGAACAATTTGAAAAATAATTTCTGTTGAGTTCGATATTTAAGCTGTTTTCTAAGTAAATTAACATGCTAATTCCAAAACTGTATATCGTTTTTTTCTATCACGTCAAGTTTTTTCCCTACAGTTGTTGTGCATGCCACTATGCTTCGCAGGATTGAATACGAATCACAGAAGTCACTTCTGCTCTCCTACCGGCGCTTACGGCGAACCTTCTTCAACTTGGGGCGTGAGTGACGTTGCGTCATCCAAAACTAGTTCAGAAGTGTCTAGCCCCAGCAAGGAACTATTAAGCTTGACCAATCAGGTTGGTTAGCGTGGTTATTTGGGGGGTGTTAATTCATTTATGTTTGTCAAATACTCTAACGTGATTGGTCGGGCTTAATAGTTGCCCGCTGGGGCTAGACACAAGTAACTAGTTCGGTCAGTTACGCACTGGTTACGCAGGAGATGCTAAAGTACGCGGGTGTGTGTCGCTGTCATATAGTGAAGTAAAAGTCCAAAGTGGAGTCTATGTTTTTCTCTTTACATAAGATAAACCGTGTTTAGATTTTATTTGTACACAAACTACAGATTTTCGTTATGTCTGCCTCTGGTAGTTCTCGTCGTAAGTGTCTAAGCAGCCCTGTCAAATTGTTGAACAACTCTTGGAGAGCTTTAAGAAGCTTGGTTGCAACATGGGCATTAAAGTGCATTTTTTACATAGCCATCTTGCTAACTTCCCAGAAAATCTTGGTGCTGTTAGTGATGAACAAGGCGAGCGATTTCACCAAGATCTGAAGGTTATGGAGGTGCGATATCAAGGCAGATGGGATGTCAGTATGATGGCTGACTACTGTTGGGGCATCAAGCGGGAATACCCACAAATTGAACACTCCAGGAAAAGCTATAAGCGGAAATTTTTACCATAATATCCTTTTTTATTGTATAAACACAATTTAACTTTTAATATATTAACCTCTGTATGAATAAAATATTCTAATCTATTTCGTCAGATCTTACCTTATTTCTCTGTGTATGTGCACTTTTAAGGTAAAAGGAGGGGTATGCTATAACTTAAAAACTTGACGTAATAGAGAAAAACTGTGAATATTTTTGAATTCAGAGACCAAAAATTAGTCAAAAACAGGTCACAGATCCAAGTCAACAAAATTGCTGTTCCCCAGTGTAATCGGTATATTTGTTTTTTTTTGTTCCACTCATCAGTCTACTCAGGTGTTGCTATTAGTATCTTAATGTCACCTATTACCTACATATTTTTCTTCATTTTTAATTTAATATAATTGTTTTACACTTTTTTAAATGTTTTGCTGCGGTCGGTGTAGTTTTACTATATTTTGATTTAAATTATATGTAGGTGTTCTTTATTAGTTTATATTTTAATATTTTTTTTTATTTGAGTTCTACTAATAAAATGGATAAATTTCTATGTCTAATTTGTATTCTTCTAATCTCATCTTTAATTCAGCAATTAATATAAACGATAGCATGGCCTTTAAAGGTTCGTTTTGTGATTGTTTCATATTTTTTTTTTTTCATGTTTCTCATTTTTAGACTTTTTATGGGTTAAATATGAGGCATACTGACTTTTTTAGGGGTACTTTTGGTATATTTTTACTTTTGAAATAGTTTCGTTACCACCAAATGCCTTTTATAGAAGAAATACTTTTGTATTTAAATGGTTGTAACTAAGAAAAAACTAAACGTTTTGAAAAATGTCTAATTTTTACACCACTTGACTCTATTTTAATCATTTTAAATCGCTTTGTATTATCTCTTCAGTTTAAAAAATTGATTTTGTTTATATCCTACTTTATTTTCAGAGCAATCGAACGAACCTGCCAAAAGTTGGGAATGGGGCGGATTCCCCAACGTAACTCCTACCACCTCTCCTACCAGCGAGGTACCAACCAAAGAAGAACAAAAATCCATGCTGAGCAACATGTTTTCGTTTATGAAATCAAAGCACAACGCTCAATCGCGTTACGAGGAAGGCGGAGTGTATTTGTCTGAGATTACTTCTGGCGGGATCGACCAGGAAGTGGCTGAGATCTATTTCAGTCAGACCAAGGCGAAAAATGTGGAAGGTAGAGTATTATGTGACTATTTTTATGCTTGGTTTTTTGTGCAGTTTTTGTTTGCATCAAAATATTTGAATTTTTGAGTAAAAAATTAAGGAAGGAGACCTTACTGAGAGAAGGAGGAACGAACAAACATATAGTTTATACCAAATGAACTTTTAGTCACGTGATTAAGCTTGACCGGCACAGCGTTGCCCACTTTTACATATTTTCTGTTAATCAAAATATTTTAGGAAACAAAAATAAATTAATTATAAATCCAAAACAGTTATTGTTTACATCAATAAAACTCACCTCCTTAACAGAACTTAAAGGACATAAAGGGCCATTACTACCGCTTTCCCCTTCAAAATATTCTAATAAGATTGCGATAAGTTTTTTGCAACGGCTATTAAGCTATCTTGTGCACTTCGCACTAAAAGAGGTTCTAAAAAGAACAGTGTTCGACTGCTGACAAACAGAACAGGCAAGAAAATATTATTTATTAATATACACTAGAGCTGTAAGAATTTTGTTCATTTCATATATATTCGAGCGGGCCGAAAAACGCTCTATACCATCTTTTGACGGGAGATGCACTAATATCTCACCGACACTTTACGACATCGTCTGTTGATATAGAGGAAGTTTTGCTTGCCGTATCGGTGAGAACCAGCTCCTGACCAGCCCACCTGATGAAGGGTAGGTGAAGGTTTCTCTACTTTCGAATTTTTGAAATTAGAAAAAAATACACAGCTAAAGGCAAGAAAATATTATTTATTAATATACACTAGAGCTGTAAGAATTTTGTTCACTAAAAGTTTATTTGGTATCGCTTATATATAGGGATTTCATTCTATAGCACTTTTTCATTAGAGAATTTGTAAAAAAAATATTTATTAGTTCTATGAACGATGTTCATATACACAAGTTCAATTACTTAGTTTATTCGTTTTTTAGTACAAAAAGCGTTTGTTTAATGTATCTGTCATTACTTTTTAATAATAATGAAACATATTATTTGGGAACTTCAAGGAATGCAATAGTAGCAGACTAAGTGGATCGACGAGTAGCGACAGAAACCGTCGTCGGCTCTTTTGATCTGGTGGGACCAAATCTTTTTTTCTCTCTCTTTTGACGTGTTTGACAGATAGACTACCTATTTAACTGCTCAACTTATGAAGTGATACTATAAACATGGTATACACTGCTCGCAATTTGAAGTGGAATTAATTATAAAGTTTTATACATATTTTTTTGTTTTGTTTAATCCTTATTTCTAAATTTAATTGTATAAAATATCTTACAGCTAATAAATAATTAAAAAATGATTCGTTGCCTGAGGCATACTTGAAATAGAGTATATAGAGATATTTGATAAATGGCAACAGTGGCAACTTCGCTTCTTCATATGACAGATAGACTACTTATTTCGCGCAACCGCAAAGAAAATTGATAACCGGACTGTCGCTACTCGTCGGTTTACTTACTCTGATAGTAGTTTGAGCTGATTTTTCTAATATTAGATATCACGATTAGTAGTTGCTTTTTAAACGCTATAATGTTGAATAGCTTAACAATTAAATTTTTAAGTCGGCCTTTTAATACCACTTAGAAAAAGCGGTGTCAATGACGGCTAGGGAATGGCAGTCGATAATAATTTTGGCGAGGTCAATCTGTAGACGCGATTTACTAAAAATTGACAATAATACTGTCAAATATTAACACTATAGACACATAAATCTATTTCCAAAAATTTTTTTTTTCTCGAATTTTAAACTACACGATTTAAAAATAATTTTAGTCAATACATATAAAAATATTACAACTTTCCTAAGTATACGTCCAAGTGCACCGGCAGGTCTTATTGCTTTGTGAACCTGCTTCATTGAAGCAGGTAGTGACATTAACAACCGCTGGCAGGAAGCGGGAATGTCATTTAGCATCATGGAGCTATCCCGTGAGGATCTATTATGTCTTTTTTTAGCTAATACAAATGTTCATATTAAACTGATACAAAAAAGTACTACTAGCGTTCATGAAATTAATCAGTCTCGTTTTGAATTTGGTAAATATCATACGTTATATTCACAACTCTCAGCTCACCGTCAAATTTTACGAATATTTCTACATGGAAAAAAACGTTCAAGTATATTTCACTAGTAATACCACTAGTGATTACTACTATTTTTAGAAAATTATCCCTCGTCTTCGATTCGGGATAATTTTCAAAGTATTCATGAGCTCGAAAAAATATCCGGATTTAATTTGACCTCGTGTGGTATTCGGTAAGAAAATTCCACACCAAATTATGTTTGAAAATCAAATAATTAAAATGTATTTTTTGATTTTTTAGCCACGACTTGATTATTTAGCTACTTTAGCAACTAAGTGACACCCAAACCTAAAAACTATTTCAGTTTTGAAGCTGTCAAGCGGCACGACTTAAAAAAAATGTTTCGCTTCGGTCAAGAAAGCAAAGAAAATATTCGCCAGGAGATTAAGCAGTTGACACCCGGGAATACTAGGAAATCGAAGTCAACCGTATTTTTATGTTTAATATTACATTCTTTGATTTTTTTATTTACTCTGGGCTACTACAAGTGGTAGAAAATAAAAATTTTATTAGTTCTATAGATACATACATGAACAGATTTGGTTTGTCTTGTCACCAATAGATTCTTAGCCTATAAACTGTTGATTTCTATTGATTGTAGTAGCTCAAAAGTGCCACTTTAGGACCTAAAATATTATATTCTTTCATTTTATAGTTACTTGGGCTTACTACAAGTGGTAGAAAATCATAATTTAAAAGGTTTTTCGAAACGCTGCATGAACAGATTTACAGCGCGTCACAGTTTTGGCAGCAATTTGGACCTTTAAATTGTTGATTTCTACTCGTTGTAGTTGCAGGAAAATACCATCTCAAGACACAACACAATATATTCTTTAATTTAACATAAGTTTTGAGTAACTACAAATTGCTTTTTTGCATTTTTATTAACTTTTCATAAACGCTTTATTGGTATGGAATTCATAACCAGCGCGCAGCGTCAGCAAGCGCCAATCATAAAAGGCTGTTATCGTATTTTGACAGTTCAAAATATAAGAAAAACTCGCGTTTTGTTGTAATATAGAATACTGTGCAGCTTGAAGAATCAACAAAATTCTTTGTTTTACAGATGAATCGGTTTGAAAATCATACTACATGCAAAATATGCGTGAAATTGTCTGATTTAATGATCAATCATAGTGCGATGACTTATTTACCCGCATTAATAAAGGATTGTGGCTCCTACTTGAAGAAAGAACATTTGTTTCGAATTGTTCACGAATATTTGCATCTAAACTACTCAAAATTCAAAGTACTAAATGGAAAAAAGTGAATAAAATAGTGTCTAAATATTATATACAGGTTGTTAACTGGAGAGTTACTTATAGGGGAACAGAATGGCAACACTGCCTATTGAGAACGCATGCACTTATGGGGTTTTCTGCCGACTCGTCCCGTCGCGTCGTCTATCGACGAGCGGGCCAAGGTTGCCATATTTCAACCATAAAGCTCTTGCCGCGAGTAATATACAAATTAACAACCTGTATATTTCATTAGACATAGACATTTAATTCAGTCCATTCCAAGTCCAAGGAGGTGTCTAAAGAATATAGAAAACATCTCAGCTTTGTAATTGAAATGTATCAAAATTATCATGTAAACAAATAAAAACCAGACTCTCAAAAAGATATTCTGTCATTATAAACGTCAAAAAATTTCCATTATAATTCGCTGTTGTGTCTACAAGGAAAAAATTTTCACTAAAATTTATCCGTTGTCATGGTGATTTGTCAAAAAACACGTTTTGATTGGTTGAAAATTACAGGTGTGACCTCGGCAAAATTATCATCGATTATCATTCCCCAGCCTTCTTCGACGCCGTTTTTTTTCTCGATCGTATGGTACTTATCTAATGTATCATTTAATTTTTGTACAAACATTTAGTTCATATTTGTGCTTGATTTTCTTTTCTTTGTAATAACTAACAGCAGCGTAGCATTTTGGATGACCCACATTTAGCGCTTAATTTATGTTTTGCCTTATTGTATTAAGTGTTACTGTTACATGTAAAAATTTAGATATCGACATGGATTGTGAATCAGGCAATGGACCGTCGTTGACCCAAAGTCCAAACAGTGCAGAAGGCTGCAAGAGCATCGACTCTGATTTCGATGAACAAACTAAAATGTAAGTATGTATAATTATTGTTTAAACAGAATTGTCAATAAAAATCTATCAAAGAATGCAAATAAATCTATTTTGACTTAGCCATACTTAGAGAAAAGAATTGAAATGATCCTAAATCATTTTTAGGGTACAAACTTATTCTCAAGACGTAGCTCTCTCACTTTGCGGCTGGGACCCACTACTGACCCAGGACCGTTTCAACGAACACTTGATCTCATTTACCGACTTCTGCAACAACCCATCTCTGTTAGACAGTCCGAAATTAGTAGCCAAAATTAACAATAAATATTACAGTTGGAAAGTGGCAGCGCCGATGCTTATCACTATTATTTGTTTCGGCAGACCGTTAGTTCAGTCCTGCGTGGACGATTTGTGCAACACTTTTATGCCCCTTCAGGTAAAACAATTTTTTCAAGAATCTTTTTCAATTTTATTTTAACTTCCTTTATTCTTATAGTTACAGTAATTTCAATAAATGAAAATTAATGCTAGGAGTTTTATATGTAAAAAAGGTGCTCTTCGTTTAGTTCGAAACAGTGAACGGTTTTCAAGCTTTCATTTAGCTTTAGCGAATTCAGGAGATTAATTAATTTATTTTTTTTTCCATTTTATCATTTTGCTTCATCTTTTCGAACTAAACGAAGAGCACCTGTTTTATGTAAAAAAAGTTCTAGCTTTTTATATCATTTGTTGAAATTACTGTGTCTATAAGGATAAAAGAAGTACCACCAGGAGTACTCTCTGTCTTATGGAAAGTACCCTTTCAGGGCTGTTACGGAATTTTTCATAATCGCCATTAAATAGTTTGGCATTAAAATGTGTATAAGAGTATAAGATTTCAGAAAAAAACGGTTTACCAATTTTCTTAAAAATAAACAAAATACACACATGGCCAAAATTATTGCATATATCGTTCAAAAATATATGGAAAGGAATTTAAAGAATCTTTTTTTATACACAGATCTGTAATAAATATTTTTTTATTAAAATGGATATGGTAAACAATGTTTATCGTTCAGACCCAATATTATTACAAATTCTTGCACATTTCGATTTGTGGTCTTTTGGGTTTCAGAAGAAATGTGACCATTGTTTTGGCCTTAAAATGCCTAGAAACATTATTTCACAGTTTAATAGAGTCAGAATAGTAACACTGTCTCAACAGGGCTACCGGCAAGTTGCAATAGTTGAAATTGTAGGAGTTAACCAAAGCGATGTTTCGCGAATATTAAAAAAAATTCAGGGAGACAAACGAGGTTACAGACCGGCCTGGAAGAGGTAGAAAGAGAGTTACTACTGCTGTGCAAGACCGTCAAATATCCCTAATTGCACGACGCAATCCCCTGTTTTTTAGTACTGCTATTAAAAATGAGTTAGCTCGCCTTGAAGGAGTAAATGTTTCAAGAAAGACCATAGCAAGAACACTCCATGACATTTAAGGAGGCCTCTACTTGTTCCCAAGCTTAAATTACAGCACAAAATTACGCGACTACAATGGGCTGAGGAGATGAGAGCAAATGGACCCAATTGGAATTTCGTCATGTTTAGTGATGAAACAAGAATAGGCCTAGTGTCAGACTCGCGACGAACTTTGGTCTGGAGAGCATCTGGAAGACGAGCACGCTTGAATGCAGCTCAACCCCGTGTCCCGTTTCAAGGGGGAAGTATTATGGTATGGGCAGGTATAATCCACGGAGCTCGAACTCCTCTTGTTTTTATTGATGGCACAATGACAGGTGCCTCATATCTTAGAGACGTTTTAGAGCTTATTGTGCGTCTATTTCGAGGGGCAGTGAGGGATGAATTTGTTTACATGGACGATAATGCTCCTCCCCATCGCACTTTAGCGATTCGCGAATTTTGTGAGGAAGAGGGTATAAGGAAAACTGTGGTGGCCACCGATGTCTCCAGATATGAATGTGATCGAGCATGCTTGGGACATGCTAAAACGCCATATTGCCAAAAGAAATGATCCCCCCGTAGCTTAAATGAATTGAATTGCTGCGCGCGAAACATGGGGAGCCATTCCTCAACGTCTTCTGGACAACTTAATTGAAAGCATGCCACGTCGTCTCACAGCTTGCATTGAGGCTCGATGAGGCAATACAGACTATTAGTTGTGAGAAATAATTAAAATTGTTTTCAATATTTCCAGTTTAAAATGAAATTTGTTTTTGTTGATGTTAACTCATTATGAAATAAAATTATAATAACAGCCTAGTTGCACTTAGATTTTTAATTTTTTATTAGTTAGTCTTGTAGTAAGCCAATATGTCCAAAAATATAAAAAGAATCATATTAGGTCCGAAATAAAATAAAAATATCGTTATATGCAATAATTTTGGCCATGTGTGTGTATTATTTTTCTTTAACCTTCGAGGGCTCTAACTTCTTCAGGAAGCATTTTATAGCATATGTTCATAGGAACTTTTTGTTTTATTTTTATATGTAAAATTACCCACCAAAGTTAGATGCACTATTTTTTTACACCTTGTATATTAATACATAATCTATAGGACACGAAAGATAAACCTATTGAATCGCAAACGCACAAATCCTCTTGGTGGCATTGGAGAAGTAGGTCTTCCAGAGAAGCCACACCGGCTAAAGACGATCCTAAATTAAAGCTTCTAACTCCTGAAAAAACTGTCGAGGCTGTATTGGAACCTAAAACTGAATCGCCTGGTAAATATTTGTAAATTAATGTGTGTTTTAATTGTTAATATTTTGCTTGCTAGTACTTTCACTCAAATTTCATTTTTCTGTTATTTTATTCATTTTCTTAAGAATAAAATATATAGCCTGATTGATCAATTTTCTTCTTTTTTAGTTACAGAAAACACCAAAGAACTAGAAATAGAAGAGAAGAAAGAGGAACAAGAACGACCTGAATTAATTAAAGTTTCACCAGATAAATGTAGAAAAACTTTAAGACTGAGTTCTAAACAAATTGTAAGTGTAATATTATTTAACTTGCATGAGAAATGTCAGTCAAACAAAGAATTCTTGGCTGTATCGATCTATTAGATTTATATATCTTTAAATTCCCTATACTAAGGGCTGGCAAAGGTTAGTCTTGGGTCGAGATTTCCGTATGTAAGAAGAGTACAACGGGTTTATAATGTACCGAACAAAGAGAGAACAGTAAACACGCTGCCAAACGTATGAAATAAACTGAGAACTACGCACATTGCTAAGAGACGTGGAAGGGGACATAGCAGATTTGTGACGCAGTTGACCGGTCGACCCAATCAGTACCTCTGTCAGTACTAAAGTTCTAGGGAAGGGTGTACATCATGCGTTCAGCTTCACGGTTTAATTACGTCTCGTGATACTTTACTTGTTTATTTATTAACCAGTCGTAATTTTCCCTATAGCTTGAAAATTTTAAGTGCAAACTAGAAACACTTTTTTGGTAAAAATAAGTGGAATTGAGTTGGTTTTTGACAGTGGTCGCGTTATTAGAACTCTGAATTCAAAAATCGATACCTCGAAATCTATTAGAAATATTTGATTGTAGTTTTTTCAAAAACTTTCTTAATATGTCTGGTGTGTTTTCTTCGTAGACAGTATGTGACAATCTTTATCGATAAAAAAATTACACAATTGCTGAAAATTGCTATGCTCTAAAAGTAAATGGATGGGTTGTTTACAATTTGAATGGAAGAAAACAGCCTTATCGAATTTTTCTTATGTAAACATATTGTAAAAGATCCGATCTTCAAAATAAAAAAAAGTTTCAATATCTAAAGTGGTTCTTGAGTTATGGCGTGTTGTGTTAAAAAGTTGAGTTTTTAAATTATCGCGATTGCTGACGTTTCTCGTTATAAAAAAATGACAACCTAACAATATCCTTATTATAATTCCATTTCAGATGCTCAGAAACATGTCTAATGATTATATCTAGTTATCTTTTCGAAAAAAAAAGTCTTTTAAAAATAAGCGGTTTGCGATAGTGATTTTACTTTACTTGATAGGGAAAGGCGTATCGGCAACGCCGCAACAGCATACCGTCGCATTTCTCTCACTCCGACTTCATAAGATCATATGCGATTTACTTCCACACATGTAAATACCGACCCAACAGTAACAGTTGCCAGCACGGTATAGAATATGTTTATTTTTACTGGTTCAAACATTTTTAATAACATCTCAGTGTTGTCAAAATAAAAAAAAATGTTATGCATATCGAAAATCAATTCGGAAATATTAAAACATGTTGTTATTGTTTCCAAAACAAATAGTCATATTAGACAGTTAAAGCACGGCTAAAGACCTATAGGCTTGGTGCATAAATAAATACGGTAATCGCAAAACATTTTCCGATGCTCGTCATCAATCGTATCGAAATTGACACTAAAGCCTATAAACCTGACTAAATTAAATTTTCGCAAAAATGTTTAAATTGGTTATATAATTTAAGATACCGAGCAGCTCTTCATTTTACTTCATAGAGCCAAATGATTGTAACATATATTTTATTTAGATTACAGCTGCAAAAATTAGTTTAAAGCGATTTTTATTATCGCCATGTTGGTCACATTGCGCCGCGATCAGCAACGTTATCGTTTATTATTTGACAATTATCATTATGTCAGTCATTATTTTGTATAATATCGTGTTGTTGTTGAATCTTTGGGAGTTTTTTCATTTTTTTTGCCGATTCTTATAGTCTTTTTTTAAAAATTGCACTTTTCAGCACAAACAGTTCTTTTAAGAACTAAATTTTCGAGTTTTTGTATTGCATTTCTTGAAATTGTGTGTCGAAAATATTCCGAAGCATTAAACAGTCGAAGCAAAGAGCTTGTAGCTTTCCTGATAAACTATTTTGAATGAGAACGTAACAATAAACGTTCTTTATTACCCTTGACTGCAGTCAGAGAAGTAAGTTTAATTGGTAAGCACACTATACCACTTTCAAAGTTATTTCTACTTATTTTCATTTGTAACGAGTGCTGCCGCCTTAAATTTAAATATTTCTACTGTGAGTGTTAGTGATTACTGTTATTATTATTAATATATAAATTAATTACTATAATATTAATTATTAAATTAAAAATAAAACGTAAAAATCTTTAATAAATAATATAATAAATATATTGTATCCCAATTTTACATTAAGATTCATCTCATAAATCCATCACAATCTGGCAGCGCTGTCGTCGTCGTTTGTCACTCAAAGTTGATCACGTTCATCGGAAATTGATTGCGATTACTTTAGTTGTACAGGTTGTTAATTTGTTTATTACTCGCGGCAAGAGCTTTATGGTTGAAATATGGCAACCTCGGCCCGCTCGTCGATAGACGACGCGACGGGACGAGTCGGCAGAAAATCGACATGCATGCGTTCTCAATAGGCAGTGTTGCCATTCTGTTCCCCTATAAGTAACTGTCCAGTTAACAACCTGTATATGGCATGGAATAAATAGTTAGATATACGTAAATAGGTTTGTTATTAAAGCTATATGTCTTTTCCTTTTCTTTTAAGTCCTCGTTGAACCTAAGAGAGGGAATGAATGAAGTTGAATTTAGTGTAACGACTGCTTATCAAGGAACAACCAGATGCCAGTGTCATTTGTATAAATGGAAATGGGACGACAAAATCGTTATTTCAGATATAGATGGCACTATCACAAAGTAAGTATAAACAATTGCAGTAAAAATTGTTAAAATGGTCATGCATCAATATGTCTCTTCATAATTTTCTGTATTTTGTAGGTCAGATGTTTTGGGTCACATTTTGCCAATAGTCGGCAAAGACTGGGCTCAGTCGGGGGTAGCTCACCTCTTTAACAAAATCAAAGACAACGGATATAAACTTCTCTATTTGAGTGCCAGGGCAATTGGCCAAGCCAGGATTACGAGAGAATACCTAAAGTCCATTAAACAGGGTGATATGAGTATGCCAGACGGGCCCATTCTATTAAATCCTACATCATTAATAACCGCATTCCACAGGTAACAAGTTTATTTAAACCTTGATGTATACATTGTATGTTAGCACATTAAACCTACTTTGAATAAAAAGATGAAGGAAGGAGTATATTGGTATCAATGTATTCATGCATGGTAGGCGGAGGTAGGGCACTAGGATAGGGATCTTTGACACTTCTGTTTGACGATTCATTTGACACATTTGAATTTGATTTGAAATTATATGGATTTGTCAGTCTTTACTGAGCTTATTTCATGTTATTTATTCTACAACTGGTAGTTGTCTAGAGGTTGAATGAACAGTGACACTATTTCGATTTATCGAAAAAAAAACTGTAAAATAGTTAGCAGTGTAGCGTGCGATAAAATCGAAGGAAATGATGGAATAACGTTTCACTAGTATGCGACTATATACGATAGTAAAACGATCATTTATGAAATTTACTTAAAATTAACTAATTATATATTTTTTCTTGCGTTTTTGCTTTTATTTACTACTTGTCAAAGATTAGATGCCAAAGAATTTAGATACGTCAATTTGACTTACCTGCTTCAGTAGCGTATCGGATGTTTGTGTTAATAAATAATTATTATAACTTATCTATTTTTATTAGAAATATATATTTAATAACAATTTTAATAACCACCAAGATTTATCGACAACGTAAAACAAAACAACAAATTATTGAGTCTATGTCATATTTTTACACGTTTTGAATAAAATTACAACTGCACCGATAAACCGGAATTTAGGTCGGCCATTTTAGGTCCTCGTCGCTGTCGATCTAAGTTTTTTGATATGCCCCTTCCTTAATCTTTTTATTCAAAGGTATTGAATAAGAAATGAATAAAACAACTGGGTATTTATTACTTATTAAGGTATTTTTGGATATATTAGTTGACAAAATCTAACTGTATAGTTAGAATTAAATATGATTAATGAAAACCAAACCAAACCAGCCAAAATCGGTCACTAATAAACAGTTTATAGTGGTTTGACAATGGCTTTAATTTTTAATTTTGATCACAAGATTCATAGATGTATGGTGGTGCATTTCAGTTGATTTCAACAAATTCCGACCGCAGCGCACTCTACGGCAGAAATCAGAAAAATCTGTAAATAGTTCACGCCGCCGCGCCGCGCCGCCATGTCGATCACATAAAAATAATATTGAAATCGGGGTTTTGTCGTAAAAGAAATTATTATTATTTTTTAAGTATTTTAGTTTTTTTGTTAGTGCAGTTATTGAGACTATAAAACACACAGGTACGAGGTTTGTGTGATGTAAAGGGGCGTCCAGACCGGATGAGCAAGCAGGAGCGAGCAAGAATTCGGGTATTTTCTATGGGAACGCTTAACTGGTGTGGACGGCTCTGCGAGCGAGCGAATGATTGCTTGCTCGCGCTCGACGCTGTTCCACGCCGTGTCGGTACATCAAAGAAAATTCGCACTATTGCACGTTCGGTTTGGACGGAATTTTGTTTACCACGTTTGCGATCGAATATCAAAAATGGAATGGCCGAATGAAGTTTTAGAACTAATAGAGGAGTACAAAAATCGCCATGACCCGTAAGGTTATAGCTAGCCTTCCTCTAGGTGAAATTGCTTTTCGGTAATTGGTATCACTTTTTGTCATTTTTATGTCAATTAAATCTAATAAGGTATTAAAATCTGTAAGTGACATCCGATAAAAGTTCTTAAATTTTCCAGAATCTTCTGTTTCAACATCGTTTAGTAAATTGTTAAATGAGAAACTCGATTTTTAAAAAGAGTTATGTTCCACCATCTCCTCTGCAGTCGTTTTCTCTTTTGACGTTTCAACAATTTATAAAATACAATGAAAGACGCACGAGCAATAATTTTTTCCGACATTATGAACATGAAGTGCCACACACCGATCAACGCCGAACATACAAATAATCG